CAACAGCAATCCTTAGGGGATACTTAGCAAACAATCACAATAAAAAAAAAAAAAAAAAAAGTGTGACACTGAAGACTAAAGTAATGGCTGTTGAAATTCATGTTTGAAATCAATTACATTTTAAAATATATTGAAAATGAGAATAGTTGTTTCAAATTGTAATACATTTCACAATATTACTTATTTGTACTGTTTTTTTTTTTTTTTTTTAATGGTGAGCATAAGAGACTTCTTGTTAAAAAAAAAAAAAACATCTTACCAATCTCACAATTTTTAATGGTAATTATCCAATTTTTCAAATTAAAATGACTGCAAAAATCTCAAGAGCAACTTACAGCTCAAATAATACATACACTTTACAATGTTAGTGCTTTTATAAAGTGCTTCACATTTTTGCTTTTAAATCCTCAAAAAGGGGCTCCATTTTCATTCGCTGCAAATGCGTCATCATTTTCTTAAAGAAAATAAGAGTCTACATTGTTTTTTGTGATAATCAACATTATGCCACAATATCCATTGAGCTTAACTTGTACTAAACCCAGAATGTTTCCTTAAAAAAGATCTATTGCATAGCTTAATAATTAGCTATCATTTATACTAAACCAACAACCTTGGGTAGTGAGATTTCCAGCTTGAAGTGGTTTTCCAACACTATAATCATAATAATGTTGCCGTTAAGAAGATACATTCTTGCCTTAATGAGTAAAAGGCGTTTTGCATTAAATTAGAAAGTTAATCATATTTTACAGCCTATTTTGTGTCCAACAGATGCCAAAAACCAAAATAGAGCAGAGGCAAATGGTCTCAGGAGTGGTCTGGTTCCTGGCTGTTGGGCTTGCAGAGTTAAACAGCACTATTTATCAAGTCCGTTTATCAGTGCCTGGCCTCATTAACCCTTAATAACCAAGCCCCGGGACCAAAACCAGCAAGCCAACATAGACAAACAAATTCCACCAGACTGCAACGGACTAAAGTACGGGAAAGTGCCAAGAATGGCAATCTCCTGAGAGAAACTACAGACACTGGAGCCAACAAAAGAAGGTCACCAGGCAAAACAAACTAAAACAAAGACTCAAACTGAACTGCTACAATAAACAGGTACAAATAAACAAACCATATGAGTCCTGTAAGACAGCGGTCTGGATTTATAAGGGGCTCTTTCCCTGTGCCTCTACAGTCCTGGACTGTAAAAAGTGGGGTCTTTTTTCCTCTTCTGTTTGTTTCCAGAGCCACAAGGCGTCTGGGAAGGCAAACATGCTGAGGAGGGGGCAAAATGAGCCAGAAAATAAGGGACTGGCGCATTCAGCACCTTTACAAGGCAGGGGAACACGGACACTGTAATTACGGTGATTTACACTCAGCTGTAGACCGGAGAGAATTCCCCTGAACGAACGGCGCTCATGAGAAGGCAAAACTGGAGCGCTAGATGAAGAGATGAGTGATGACACAGCTACTCTGGGAAGAGTGAAAATCCAGGAGGTGAGGGGAAATCTGAGGATTACATTGTGAGTTATGAAAGCAGAGTGTGCAAGACAAGCGGGACCAGCCACAGACAAAGGAACCATAAGTTATGTGCACATTTTCTTGGCAGATGCCATCTGACCGAAATGGCTTACTAGAGCATACATGAAGTGTGTTATGACAGTCAGTCTGGCAAAAAGAAAAACATAAATGTTCACATATAAGATATGGACCAGAATGAGAGAAAACACTAAGAAAGAGAAGAGAAGAGAAGAGAAGAGAAGAGATAAAAGAGATAAAAGAGATAAAAGAGAGAGCCTCAAGAGAGACATGACAGACAGACAGACAGACAGACAGATAGACAGATAGACAGATAGATAGATAGATAGGACAGAAAATAAAATAAAATAAAAAAAATAGAAATAAAAAAGACAGACAGCCAGTGTAAAAAAAGAGACAGAAGGGCAGAAAGAAAGAAAGAAAGAAAGAAAGGACAGACAGAAAATAAACAAGGACAGACAAACACACAGGAAGACAGACAAAGAAAAGAAAAAAAGAAAATATAATAAAGACAAAAAGAACAGATAGACAGATAGATAGATAGATAGATAGATAGATAGGACAGAAAATAAAATAAAATAAAAAAATAGAAATAAAAAAGACAGACAGCCAGTGTAAAAAAAGAGACAGAAGGGCAGAAAGAAAGAAAGGACAGACAGAAAATAAACAAGGACAGACAAACACACAGGAAGACAGACAAAGAAAAGAAAAAAAGAAAATATAATAAAGACAAAAAGAAAAAGACAGACAGACTGATGAACAAAGAGAGAGAAAGAAAGAAAAGACAAATAAAACAAAAAGACAAATAGACAGACAGACTTAAAAAAGAGAGACAGAGGAAGGGCATAAAAAGACAAAAAGAAAAAGACAGACTGACAGATGAAAAAGACAGACAAACAGACTGATGAACAAAGAGAAAGAAAGAAAGAAAGAAAGAAAGAAAAAGAAAGAAAGAAAGAAAGAAAGAAAGAGAAAGAAAGGAAACATTATCTACGAGAGGAAGTTTGGAAAGGTGGCAAGACAGACTGACAGATGAAAAAGACAGACAAACAGACTGATGAACAAAGAGAAAGAAAGAAAGAAAGAAAGAAAGAAAGAAAGAAAGAAAGAAAGAAAGAAAGAAAGAAAGAAAGAAAGAAAGAAAGAAAGAAAGAAAGAAAGAAAGAAAGAAAGAAAGAAAGAAAGAAAGAAAGAAAGAAAGAAAGAAAGAAAGAAAGAAAGAAAAAGAAAGAAAGAAAGAAAGAAAAAGAAAGAAAGAAAGAAAGAAAGAAAGAAAGGAAACATTATCTACGAGAGGAAGTTTGGAAAGGTGGCAGACAATAGAGAGAGAGAGATTGTAACAGAAGTTGAACACACTCTCAGAGTCTTTGTCTGAGAAACTAGGTCAGTTTGGAGTTTGGAACAGGAGTCGGTTCCTCTCTCTCATGAGCAGCCCCTCTCCATCTCCGCTTGTGCCCCATAATGGGGACTACAGCCAAGCCCCCCTCGTCCCCCAATTTCCTGTCCTATTTGGCTGAAATGCAGCTGAAACTAAAAGGGGGAATCTCTCATTCTTGCTCCCCTAAACGCTCCCCACATCAACACACACACACTGGAGCTGAACCCAGCTCACCTGAATATCACCAAACAACACTTCACAAACTAATAATAACCCACACAACACCAGGCACAACAGTCACACACAGCAAAGCCGTGCACTGTGAGCTCACGCTCATCTCGTTTCCAGCTAGCTTGACATCATTCTTTGTTACGCTTTCTATCAAAACCAGACAGCTCTTACTAATAGAAGCTGAGCCCGGCTCGGCATGACTCCAGTCAGACATCATACACACATATCCCAGAGTCAGGACTATGTCCCCAAAACCATCCACCACTCAGCCTCCATTTTGAGACCACAGATTGATAAAACAGCAGCATTCCTCGGCATGATCCGCGTCTTTCGACAACCAATTTATGGCTATTTGATCTGAAGGCATCTTTTCATAAAGCAGCATAAGCTTGCATGCCTTCTCTTTTTATTGGCTTATGAAAAGCTCAGCTTCAAATAAACCATCAGCAAAAGGGAAAAGGAGTAACATTTCAGGCATTCCCCAACCTCCGGCCTATGTACTCATGAGCCTCTGCAATCAATCAGTCACAGATACAAAGGATAACACACACATACTATACAGTACATTCACGCACACCTGTTGATGGCTGGCACTGGCAATATTCCCATGAGTTCAAAGGCTGTTCACAATGAGCCTGTCACTCATGACAGACAACTTTCACTTCTCTCTCCAGGCCCATGCAGCAGCACCAATCAAGCTAAACCTGCACAGTTTTAATCCAGATTTTTTTTTTTAATAAATAAATTATGCCATGGACCCCAAAATATGATGAAATTTGATTGGTTATATATCCCATTTATAGTTATTAATTATTAAATAATGTTAATGTATTTTATATTGTTACTTAATATTTACATTATATTAAGTTGTCATATTTATGCATAT